CCACCGCTGTCCTGACAGAATGTCTGACAGACATCAAGTTCTGGATAAGAGCTAACTTTCTCCAGGATTGTCAGCAAGACAGAGGCCCTCCTGATTGGCTTTCTGTCAATGAATCCACACCTCAGGTATTGGCAGCACCACTGTCCATGGATGCACATTCCACCTCACTGAGCCAGTCTGGAACCTTAGTTCCATCTTGCTTGACCCTGAACTGTCCTTTCTATCCCACATTCGTGCCATGACCCGCTCTGCCTTCCTCTACTTCTGCAGCATTGCCTTCCTCCACCACTGCCTTTCCCCTCAGGCCGCTTAATCCCTCATCCATGCATTTATTACATCTAGGCTCGACCACCAACTGTCTGCTTATTGGTCTTCCCAACTCTACTCTCCACATGCTGCAGATCATCCAGAACTCTGCAGCTTAGGACCTCTCCCGCACTAGGCTCTGTGACCCCTCCCCCCACTCCACCCTCACACGGCTCTACTGGCTCCCCATTCCCCAGAGGATAGAGTTCAAAGTTCTCATCTTCAAGGCCTTCCACAGCCTTGTTCTTCCCTCTCAGTAAACCCATTTCACCTTGTCCGATTCCTTTGCTCAGCAGGCTCCGGGCTTCTCCACTTCCCCGGCCCCCCACACCATCGGCGGTTGATCCTTCAGCCTCTCTGCCCCCACCCTTTGGAACTCCATCCCACAGTCCCTTCGCCTTGCTCCCTCCCTTGCCTCATTCAAAGTACATCTCTAGACCCTCTTCTTCGCCCGTGCATTCGTTCTCCCTTCCCCACTGCCCTCCCCCCTCCCCTTCCCAATCCCAACCCCCTGCTCGGGTCCAAGTTCCTGACTATCCAGTGCCCTGACATCCTCCCGATGTAAAAGGCACTTTACAAATTTCATTTGTTGTTGCCTTTACATAAATTTATACTTCTGCTGCACTTAAATGAGTTTTAGCAAATAAACTGACATTTGCGGGGACTGGGGGCACTCTGTCACACTGACAGCTATTTGCTCTGCGCAGCCGCAGTGTGTTGGTGTCAGTCCTCCCAGCCATAGCAATCCCTACATAGTCACCCTGGATGTAGAGCCACTGAACTCTTTTCCCCTGGAGTGACAGGAATTTACTGTATATTTTCATTCTAATTTTATTGTGTTCTGTTGGCAAAGAGCTTTGTACTTAATCGTTGATAAAATTCTGGTGCAGAGTTATTGCAGTGCATGATTTGGAGAACACTAATTGGTTTCTATTATCTTTTAGTTTTTTGCATCAGAAGTAGTTATTAAAATCATCCACTTAAATTGTTTGCTATGTTCATATGTACTTTGGGCATCATTCAATATAAGCCTATTTTAAAATAAACAAGGATGTCTTTTTGCTTTTGGGCATTTCTGTTGATCACAGCTGAAATGCATAAACCAATGATTCTTAAAAGAGAAAGTGATTTGTGAGTGTGATATTTAGTGACCTCCATTAAAAGCAAAGATCATTGGAGCTCCACTTATGCAATTGTGTGAGATACTCTAATTTAAGTGTACATTTGGTAAAAATGGTTGTATAAAATTCATGGCTGTTCATCGGGGCTGTATTCTATTGCAACCCATTGTTCAGAATTGTATCTGCTCCTAAGGATGAGTTACAATGGAAATGACCGCTTTGTACAGATTTACTAGTACGCATACAAAATACATTAGAAATCTATTTCTAGCTTATTGGAGCAGAATAAATGATGGTTTGTTGCTGAGCTTTTTATGCATTGGTGTTCAATTGATTTTCCATGTTCTATGCAATGAACCAGTCATTTATTTCTTTGAGGGGTTGGGGACACTGATTAGAATTTGCAACTGTTGAATTAAAAGAATGCTGTCATCAGCATTGCACATGCTGCAAGATGCTTGAGTGCAGTGGGCATACTATCATCTGTTTATTTGGTATCACTACAAGTTGAACACAATTACATTTACCAATGGAGTTTACTCAAATGCATCACAAAACGAAATTACTTTTAAAATCGGGGATATGTGTAAACCTTGCTTCATTAGCAAGAAAATGGGAAGGCGAATAGGACAAAACAATAGAATTAAAGAAAAAGAATAAAGCGGTAACAGGGCAGAAAAAGAGTGGCAGTAAAAGTGCAAGGTGTATGAGAAAGTTAGAGAGAAGTTATTAAAAGAGAATAGATCTAGAGAGAACAGGCAGTTAAAAGACATTGAAGAAAGTCGAAACAAAAACAGAGAGAGCTGGGAAAAACTCAGCAGGTCAGGCAGCATCTATGGAGAAAGGAAAGTGAGTCTGACGTAGGCTTGTGGACCCGAAACGTTGACTCACTTTCCTTTTTCCATAGATGCTGCTTGACCTGCTGAGTTTTCCCAGCTCTCTCTGTTTTTGTTTCAGATTTCAAGTATCTGCAGTACTTTGTGTTTTGAAGAAAGTCGTATGCGCACTCTCACTATTAATGGCTACAAACTTCCTTCCTGAATTTGTGGTTCGCAGGTCTTCTAGCCCTAATGTTATAATAATAATAATCCTTGGATTTGATGTAGTGCCTTTAACGTCAGTCAATCTTGAAGCACGTCACAGAATTTCTTTTGCAAAGTGAGTGATTGTATTTTGTAGGTGGACACGGAAACAAATTTTTGCAAGACAGTGTATCATGAATACCTAATTTTATAGGTATTCATGATATGCTGCTGTTCTGACAAAGGGTCGTGGACCCGAAACATTGACTCACTTTCCTTTCTCCATAGATGCTGCCTGACCTGATGAGTGTTCCCAGCGACTTCCATTTTTGTACCTAATTTTTTATGGTGGATTGCTGGCCAGGGAATCAGAAGAAACTCCCTTCTAATTTGGAGTAGTGTAACATCCACCTGAAAAAGCAAATGGGAACTTGGTTAATTCTAATTCGAAATATAGCACTTCCAACAATGCAGTGCACCACCAGCATTACATTGGGGGTGGAAGACTAGACTATATGAGTTCAAAGGCCCAATGTACGACTCAATTTGTAGGCTCAATCTTTTAGTGTGAGAAATCTACATAGTTCTGTGGCTGGTTTGCTTAATGTTTTTAACAAAGTTTTGCAAATTTTTCGAACTACAGAGGGATGACAGCATTTCACACATCTAACTGGGAGCCCAAAATAGGAGAGAGGAAATTAGGAGAGGGGTGGGAGGAAGAGATGACCAAAAATGCTGTTGGAAAGGTAGGTTTAGAGGTGGAGAAAAAGTGAGATGGAGGGACTCCGGGATGGAGTTCCAGAGAATGGGCATAGAAGGTTTGTTCCCAATGGTGAGGTAAATTGGGCAAGGGCCACAAAGCACTCCAGTGTTGGCTGAGCAGAGGGAGCAGCCAGGAAGGTGGGTAGGGTTAGTCCATGGAGGAATTTGAGGACAACAAAATTAAAATCAAATTTACTAGGAGGTGGGGAGCTGGTGGAAACCAAATTACATTTAATTGGAGAGAAAATTGGAAATAAGCTCCTTGTCAGGTTATTAGATGAAGTATTGTGGTTGGGGNAAAAAAACCTAATCCCTTTGGCATTTCAATGAAAGAGTTAGTGTGTTTAATCCCTTTTGCAAGGAGGTGCCTGTGGGCTGGATGAGACGAGATATTGTCAATGTTTACAAAATCTCATTAAAAATAAATAATGGAAATTTAACATAAGCACTCTCACCACTTATTGCGAAATCATTTGCTTGAACACAAGAACAAACTTTCATTCACAAATTGCCACTTAGACACACATCCCTTTTATAGTAATTTAGAAGGAATGCCTCCATTACTATCATAACTGTTGCATTCATAGTATACTTTAAATATGTACTGTCCATATTTAGTTTTCAAAAATGAAAGTTCGCATTTTAAAGCCGTTCACAGAACCTGGTGAATGGGGGATATTGTGCGGTGTTTATTTAATTTTGTTTATTTGTAGTAAATTTAGGAAGGAATGTTCCTTCAGATTTCTTGGCTTACATTTATGCTGTTCTTCAGATTTTGTTTTCTTAGCTTTTTGCAGTCATGCTAATCATAAAATCATTCCAATACCATCACTGGTATTAAAGCTGCATTATTCTTTTTCAATGGGCTTCTTGTCAAATTTTTGATACATGAAAAAATTGATCACTAATCATTGTGTAATAAGGAGTTAGGGACAGAATGTCTTAAATACTGAAATGATGTAGTCTCAGAATAAACTGGAAATAAATGATTAAAAAGTTGATCAGAATTCAGAAAAACATGTAGTGGGTAGACTCTAGATTTAAATTCTTTTTTGTTTTCTTCCTCCCTCCCCTACCCCCGTTTAATTTCAATTTGTACAGTCCATTTCTCAAATGAAGGAGTATAATTTTTGTTAGACTCTTGTTCCTGCTTTCAATAAGACTGCCAAGATATGAGACGTTGTGACCCTTCCATAATAAGGGATCATATTTACTTTGGGGATTAACAATTGACAAGCGTAGAATCAATTGATGCTGAATTGCAAAACAGAGCATTCACTTAGCTGATACAGTCAATTCAGATTTTAAATGAACAGTCTTAACATTTTAATCTCTTGTCCTGAACATGCAGAAAGTTAGTGAGAATTGTATGTTGCGCATTGATTAGATTACAGTATTTTTAAATTTAATGGAAGGAAACCAGATCAATGCTGCTTTACATGATTAATACTTCCAGCTTAATTTGGTAAACTGGAGCTTTTCATTCTTCAGGTTGATCTTGCTTTGCTACTACAACGAATGCTTCTTTCATGTGCTATACGGTCTGGATAAGTCAAAGCATTCATTAGTGTGGATTAACTATTTTAAGGAATTCCTTTCAGGCCTAAAGTGATTTTCTAATCTTGAAACCCAGTCTCACTGCTGTAGAATCTCACTTCATATTGCAGGAGAAAAAATAATAAATTGTGCTGAAGAGGATGGTTTACATTTTGTACATTGAACCCAAATTTAGAGCAGGCACCATACAATTCCAGATCTCTTGTTGATGTATTGCCTTTTTGTCTTTCAGGTTATATAATAAGCCTTGTTCTTCTAACATTACCTCGGCAGCACCTGGTCCAACTATACTTGTATGTTTTGACCGCTCTACTTCTGTTTGCTGGGCACCAAATATCCAGGTAAGGATCTCAGAAAAGTTTCATTGTTAGAGCGATTAATGTTGAACACAACAATAGCGCAATGAAAATGTAGCATCTTTCATAGAATAATTTCTCAAAGTTCTTCAGAGGCATTGTGGAACTTGAGCAGAGAGGGTATGGTGGGTGAAGAGATAGATCTTTAGAAAGGTTTTGACAACTGGGAGGCAAGGAATTTGAGTTGGGTATTCCAAAGAGCTGGGGCACAGATAGTGCTGAAAGCTTAGCTGATATTTGTAGGGCTGAGGAGACAGGAGATGTGCAGCAAGCATAATTTTGAGAAGTGGAGGCTGTGGGGGGGAAGTGAGGCTGAAGTAAATTGCAGTGGTAGAGAAGTCTGAGGGTGTGAAATTTTGAAGGTCAGAATAAGGATCTTGAAGTTGATACATAGCAGAATGAGAGCAATCGGTAAAAATGGCAACCCTTCCAACACTTTGGTTCACAGTGTTGCTTAGGAACAGTTGCAACTTTATTATAAAGGATATGTTAGTGACATGCTGAAATTTCAGTTCTCCATAGAGAGAGGACTATTTTCTTAAGTGGCTTCAATCTGGTGAAGTTTTGACTACAGTCTGATTCTTGTCTATGTTGTAATTTTGCTGCTCAGGAAAATAACCACAGTATAGGTAGATACTTGGCTTCTATTTTTATGTATAGTTCCTGTTCTGTTGATTATGTTTATGCTTTTGCCATTACTCATGTTATCTATCTTTATTTGGATCATTCTCTGTGATTTTGTTAAATTCTGACTTTTCCTCTGTGTGACTTTTTTTGTTTTTGCCTGGTCTCCTGCTTCCACTTTGCTATTGTGTTTGTTTTAAATCTCTTTCATCTCTGCATGTTTCTCATTGTTCAGTGATCAGGCAGGAATTGGAAGGTTGATTAACTTGGGATAGAATAGGTGACCTGAGAGAGGTCTCAAATAAATTGATTAGATGCTTTTACTGAGACTTGGTGAAGGATTGAAGCTTCCCAAATTCCTTGATTCGATTGAGCACCAACCAACCAGACGTGGAACCAGAAGTTCTGGGTTTGAAACCCAGTGGATTCACTCATTCTTTCACTTCAACTGGTTGTGAGGTTGATTTAATTGTTAAATGAATCAAACAAGATCACAGTAAATCCAGGGCAATATTAATGATTGATCAGAGTGTCTGACTTGTTACAGAAATGTCCTGCACTCTGAAAGTCACAGCCTTAATTGCATTACCATTCTTTAATAGATTGAAAGAAGTTACCCATCTTCACTTGTGCCTTTTTCTTGTGGCTATTTCTATGCTATGATAATACTAGTTGATGGTGAAAAATGCAATATTCCTGCAGTTTTCACATTAAGCTAGTTTTAAAAGTTTCAAAACCTTTACTCAGTAGTGTTTATATGAAGATCCTATTACATTAGGGTGAATTATTTGCTAGTTTGGATGTTTGTTAATTGTTAACGTGAATAGCTATCATTGGAGTCTTCATCTTCTAAATTAATAAAGCAGTTATGTGACTTATTTTGGAGTCCTATTGAGAAGTTAGGAATGTTCAATGGAAAAATAAAGTCTGGCATTGATATATACTCTTGGTAATTTGTGCAATCCTCATGGCAATGTTTGAACAATGCTAATCTCAATCAGTGAATATTTGCATAATGATCCACATGTGTATGACTTGGCTATGTCTTTGAGTCAATATTTCTTGCAGTAGTGTGAAGTAATACTGCTGTTATTGATGTGTGGTATCAAGCATTTCAGCAAATATACACATTTTTAAGGAGCTATTGATGAATAATGTAACTTACATTGTTGTTGAATCCCTTGATTTTGTCTGCAGAATGTATTGATCCATTCATTGTATAGTGCAATGGCAGTGCAAGCTGTATCAACTCATTGAGGACTGTAGCAGCATTTCTGCACCAAAATTAAAAGGAGCACATGTCTGAAAATATCACTAGATTGCAAAAATATTTTGAGAAATGCTTTGATTCAATAAGAGTTAATGGCTGTTTGTGCGACATTGCTGTGAGAAAATTAGTTGTTGCGTTTGCTTACCAATATGCATTCACTGCACTTTACAGTAAATACTGTGAAGCACTTTAAGACATCCTCGGGAAATGCTCCATTCCAAATGAAAGAATTCTTATTCAGTCTTGAAGTTGTAGGTTACAATAAGTAGTAAATCGTTTAAGATATTTCCAAGCAGCAGACATGACTGAGTCACACAAAAGTGAAATTGTGAGTGCGTTAGTGGTCAGTATTAATTGCTGGGTAAATTTAGTGTTTGCTTGCATCCTGACCTGTTTATCGGGATTAACCTTTGTTGATTCGGTGAACTAAATTTAACAATTTGTATTCTAAAGCGGAGGAAAATGTAATGTCTAGGGAATGCTTTTTGCTCAAAGTGCTCCACTGGAATTATAGAAGAAAATTGTGTAATTTGTACTTCAAATAAGAAATCCTCAGGTTAAAGATCACTTAGCGCTGCCTCCTCCTCTGCGAGACCAAGTGACTTCACAGACGGGGAGGAACCGATTCCATTTTTCTCCGTGGAGCTGACTCTAATTTGGCATCTGTTCCAGAGTTCAATGACCTTGGTAGCGTATGTTATTGGCACTGCTGCATACTCATTGACATTGTGCTTTCCAGGGAGGTGGGTGTCTCTGTAACAGCTAGACCAGTGCTGCCAAGTATCTGTGTGTCATTAGAGCCATTGTGAATATTTATTTACATTTGTGGAATGTATGCTTTCCCATAAAAGTACAACTATATGTATAAGTACTGTATATAATTTCTTCTGTAACTACAGGAATGCTTTGTAAAAGATCCCTTTTATCCCCTCTCGAGTTAGCTGTGCAGTCATACACACATCACTATAATTCCCTATACCCTTAAGGGTTTTTCCGATTACTCTTCAGATTTGATCAGGTAGCTTGGTTTTCCCATTGCACTTAAAGGACAACTGGTGTAATTTGCTATCAACTAATAATATTATTTTTGTCTGGGAAGTTAATAATAGTAGTGCAGCGGGACTGCATACAAGTGTAAAGTGCTATACAAATGTAATTTTGTTGTTGTTGTCTCTTTGCTGTTGGCATCGGAGAAGAAATCAACTCGCCAGTCTGTGATATTGCTACCTACACGTGTGTTGTAATACGTGTGTTCTAAGATGTGTGTGTCAGCATGGCTCAGTGGTAGCATTCCCACCTCTCGAGTCAGAAGGTTGGGGGTTCAGTCTAACGTTGGGACTGGAAATCATAGTCTAAGGTTACACTCCAACGCAGTGCTGTCAGAGGTACCGTTCTTCAGATGAGACATTAAACTAAGGTTTCCTCTGCCTTTTCATGGGGTGTTAAAAGATTCCATTGCACTAAAGTGCTAGGCTTTTATAGTAATAATCCTTGTGTTTCATACAGTAGATGCTTTATCACAGGACGGCCAACCTACAGTCTGCATAGTGTAGACTGTGATCTGTTCCAGAGCCCAGACTAGACTTTGTGTTATTGTTCTATGCATGCGTCAGGCAGACTGCGTGTCGCAAGCTGGCCATCCCTGCCTTATCGCATCATCAAAACGTCTCCTGGTGGTTGTGTATTTGTAGACAATATTGCAAGTAAAATATGTTGAGTAGTTAAAGTGATTGATTAGTTAGTGGTAGTCAAATGCGATTTTCCTACTTGAATCAGTCGTGATTTTGCTACAAGGTGAGGTTTAATCAACTTTTCCATTGATGAAAGTGAATCTTTCTCAAATTAATGTGATGCGCAGGATGATTTATGTTTTCTATAGTCTTATTGGTCAGGGAAAAGTATTGGTTCAAGAAGAATAGTTTTATTTATTTTTTTATGGGAGAGGAAACCTCCCAGAATTTATTTTAAAAATAGCAGTTTTTAAATTCGAGCCCCTGACAGCTTCAATGTTATTTGTCTGCCTGTGTGATAACAACTGTTTATGTCAAGAGAAGGATGTTCATGATTTAGAAAATTGTTGGAAAATACTGTGGGTAAACATTACAGCAATAGTTTTAGGCATTTGGCAAAAACTGCTATATTCAGCCATAAAAAGTAATACTTAAACTACTATTTCCTACTAGTTGCATTTATTAAACTAGGTGGAGAAGATTAGATGATTCATCACATACATTTATATTGTACTACTAACCTTAATGCAACAATAGACCAAGCATTCTCTGTCATAACAACTCATGCAGTCCCAGAACGTAATAATAATACTGTCATTTTTTTCGCACCTTTCACATTGGGGGGACATCTCAAAGTGCTTTACAGGTAGACGGTAAAGTATAGTGACTGTGTAATTGTATGTGGCAGAATGTTTGCACATAGTAATATCCCACAAGCAGTTATAAAGTGAATGACCAATTTTATTTGGGGTATTGTTGGCCAGGACATTGGGAGGCACTCCCTTCTCTTTTCAAATAGTGCTGTTGGATCTTTAACGTCCACCTGAATGGAAGGATAGAATCTCGGTTTAACATCTCATATAAAGGATGAAACCTTTAACAACACAGCACAACTTTGCTATTTGTGCATAAATTATTGTTTTCGTTAAAAGCTTGTGAAATCGGAAAGCAGAGAGACCAGAGTAGAAAAAGCGAGGCAGCATATGACGTTAAAATAAATAATTGTTAGTAGGTGGGTAAAAATAATGTTTGTCCATGCATGCAAGTGTTAAAATTTAGCTGTAACATTCAAAGTAACTTCGGTTGCTGTTATTTTTCAGGGATTTTGTAAGGAGTGAAATTGACTTTGGTCACGATGGACCTGTGTACGAAGATCCTTTGTCTCTCAACCGCTTCACGACTGCTTTAATAGGTAAGGTGGTGCTAAAAGTTATTTGATCAACCATATTCACCAGTACATTTATGTTTGGCTCTGACTTTGGTGCAATCTAATGCATCATGTTTATTGGATGAACACCGATTTTCATTTTGTTTTGTATCAGTATTTTATTGCCGTTTTTCTGCTAAAACTGAAAATCAGAAGTCCTACCTTTAGTGGAATGGATTTAATTTGAAGTAACTAAAACTTTTGCCTTTCAGAGTAGATCAGAAATCTATTTTGATCAAATATTTGATCCTTTCACAAATTATAAAAAGGATGCGCTGTGTGCATTAATTCTAAGTCTATATTTTATAATTTTGTATTTTATAATTTTATAATGTTTTTTAACCTCCCCATTTTATGGTCAGCTTTTTGGGTGTTTCTTTAGATTTTTGTCACAAAGTTTAGAGGACAGCAGCAGTAAGATACTTGTTGACGTAATCCAACTTGCAGTCCAACAAGCACTCTGAACCGCCATCCGGCGTGAAGGGCGCTATACAAATGCAAGTTGTTGTTGCTTGGATATAGATCTAAAAAGCTCCTCCCCTCTTCTGTCCTTTGTTCTGCCCCCTACCCTGAGTGAAGTGAAAGTTATTTTACTACTTGAAATAGAACCAATAAATGAACAAATGTTATAATGGCTACAAAAAGAAATTTTGAATTACAAAATTCTGATAATGCTGCATCGTTTGTGTTTTTGGCTGAACTCTTTCCTAACTAGACATGTAGAAACAGGGGATATTGCCACATAGGTCCAGTTCATCAATTTCCTTTTCTCTTCCTGTCTCCACCCTGCCACTGAGTAATACAACTTCATACATGTGCAAGCATAGAATTATTGGGATATAGCAGTTGTGTGACAAATAATTCACTGCACACAATTTGAGATGTGAGAGAAGGAAGTAGAGTATAGATTTACAGGAGGAAAGGTAACTGATCTTTTTAAGATGATTGTGTTCACTTCCTACAAGCTGGTTGAGGATTGGCAGGGGCATGGGAGTAGATTGTCCAATCCTGCTTATTAAATGATGAATGACACATAATATGAAGGACGACATTTAGTGTTTCAAAATGAGGAAGATTGACAAAACAAAATTCTAAGTCCCATTTTTGCAGTATAAAGAATTATACTGTCCTTTGGAACAAAATCAGTTTTAAACTGAACATCGCACCTTTCATTCCTGAGGTCTTTATACTATTAGCATTGCAAGAGATCAACTACCACTCCTGATCCTTTCTGTATTTACTCTCGAAACTGGAGAAGCAAAGGTTTTTCTTAAAGTTCATTGTTTGTAAACCATGACTTAAGTAATTGTTCTCTAATACAGTATTTCAAAACAAAATGTTTTATGGCCAAAATTCCTCTGTATCCTAGATATTATAGTTACAATTTAATGTTAAATTTGATAATTTTAGTAGACGTGCTCATTTGTAGTGGCTCATTTGGAAATGTTGTAGATGTGTCATGGAAATATGTCTTGTAGATCATCATGTAAGTCATTTCTCTTTGGCACTAAAACCAGTATTTATGGTATAATGGAGTCTTACAGGATGATATTAAAATGGCCTGCTTAGCACTGTATTGTAGTAATGAATTTGTACCACTAGAGACTGCTTGTGTATAGTGTATAAATAGTGATATGAGCTTTGCTGATAGACTGGGCACTGTGTCATTGCAGTTTACTTTTCTGTTGGTATGATGGGCTTAGACTAAAATTTATTCAGGTCCAGGATATTGGATCAGAGAGCTTATCAGTTCTTACACTACTATACTATATTGCTTTCCCAGCTTCTCCGGGACACATGGCAGAAATGATATTACATTTCTTGGCTGGTTTTGAATTTTGAACCATAAAATTATCTTTGTCCTCATTTTATATTAGTAATACTTTTTTATACTGTTGTCCTATATTGTAAAATGTTTTGTTACATACACACGTGTAAGTGAAGTATTCTTCAGACTGAGGAAGATGTAGTTGTAATTTATAGTTTCTATTTTTCAGTGTCAGAAGTTACATTAAGTCACTTGAATGTTCAATTCTTATATTTAGAATGTAAGCCAATTGCTATGATTTCATAAAGAACCTGTGATGTAGGTTCTTTAGATTTGCAATGGACATATGTGATTCAGATCAGTTAGTTCCTCTCTTTCACACTCTCTCTCACACTTTGCAAGGCTATAAAAGTAATCAGGTACCTGTTTTCAGGCAATAAGGGATTGGTTGAGATTTCATAGAATCACAAAATCATAGAATTATACAAGGAGAAGGAGGCCATTCGGCCCATCGTGTCTGTGCCGGCTCTTTGAAAAGAGCTATCCAATTTAATCCTACTCCAGAATACATTGTTGCCAGGAATATTCAGCTCCCATTCCTGCCCTTGTTTGAGACAGGTCTCCTTTATTGCCACTACATCATAACCCCATATGGCAACTTGAGCTGCAGCTGACCAATCTTATTTGTCACATTCCGTGCATTTTTACACACATGCACTCCAAGACCGACTTAGTCAGTTCTGCATTTCTCCCCCGTCTAATCCCTTTTTTTTTTGGATTACTCCATATTACATTGCTATTATTCTTCTTTCCCCATAGCCCTGCAAGCTTGTCCTCCCCAAATAATTATCTACTTCTCTTAAAAGTTCTTATCAAATCGGCTTCCACCACCCTTTCACGCAATGCATTCCAAATCCAAACAACTCGCTAGTGAAAAAGTTTCCTCTCACCTCCTCTGTTTCTTTTAACAATTATTTTAAATTGGTGTCCTCGGGTTACCGACCCATCCGCCATTGGAAATAATTTCTCCTTGTTCATCCTATTGAATCCCCTCATAATTTTGAAAACTTCTATTAAGTCTCCTCTTAATCTTCTCTGTTCCAAGGAGAATAATCCCAGCTTCTCTAGCCTCTGATAACTGCAGTCCCTCATTCCTGGTACCATCGGGTAAATCTCCTTTGCATCCTCTCCAATGCCTTGACATCCTTCCTTAAGTGTGGTGCCCAGAACTGAACGCAGTACTCTAGTTGAGGCCTAACCAGTGTTTTATAAAGGTTTATCATAACTTCCTGACTTTTGTATTCTATGCCCCTGTTTATAAAGCTTAGTATCCCATGTGCTTTTTTAACAGGTTTATTCCTGCGACCTGCAAAGAGTTACTGATATGAACCCCCAGGTCCCTCTGTCCCTTCACCTCCTTCAAGTTATTGCCTCTCCTCATTCTTCCTCCCAAAATTCATTGCTTCGCATTTCTCCATATTAAACTTCATCTGCCACGTTTTACCATTTTACCGGTCTGTCTATGTCCATTTGCAGTCTGCTACTATGTTCCTCACTGGTTACTACTTTTCGTAGCTTAGTATCATCTGCAAACTTGGAAATTGTACTCCCTTTACCCAAATCCAGGTCATTTATATAGAGCAAAAACAGCAGTGGTCCCAATACTGACCCCTGGGGGACACCACTGCACATTTCCCTCCATACAGAAAAACAACCGTTCACTACCACTCTCTGCTTTCTGTCTCCCCGCCAATATTGTATCCAAGCTGCCACTGTCCCTTTAATACTGTGGGCTTCTATTTTGCTTACAAGTCTCTTATCTGGCACTTTATCAAACACCTCTTGAAAATCCATATAAACTACATCAACTGCATTTCCTTCATCCACCCTCTCCGTTACTTCATCAAAAAACTATCAGGTTTGTTAGACATGATTTGCCTTGAACAAATCTGTGTTGGTTGTCCTTTATTAACTCATTTTTCTAAGTGAAAATTTATTTTGTGCCGTGTTATAGTCTCTAGAAGTTTCCCCACAACTACCGTTAGGCTGATTGGCCTGTAGTTCCCTGGTTTATCTTTCTGTCTCTTTTTGTACAGGGGAGTAACATTTGCGATCCTCCAGTCCTCTGGTACCACCCCAGTATCCAAGAAGGATTTGAAAGATTGTGGCTAGTCTCCATTATTTCCACCCTTACTTCCCTCAGTAACCTAAGATACATCCCGTTCAGACTGGGTGACTTATCTACCTTGACCACCGACAACCTTTTTAGTACCTCCTCTCGGTTTATTCTTATCCTATCCAATTTCTCTACCCTTTCTTCTGATACTGTGGCAGTGGCTGCATCCTATTCTTTTGTGAAGACAGATGTAAAGTACATCAGCCATGTCCTCTGCCTCCACAAGAAGATTTCCTCTTTGGTCCCTAATTGGATGCATCTTACCTTTGACTAACTTTTTATTCTTTATATGCTTATAAAATACCATAGGGTTCCCTTTTATGTGACCTGTTAATCTTTTCTCACACAATCTCTTTGCTCCTCTTATAATTATCTCCTTCTTGAAAGCTTCCCGTTGCTTGTTAGCTGTTTTACCTGCCAATCTTTCTTTCCCGTTCACCTTGGCTAGGTCCCTTTTTAACTCACTGAAATTAGCCCTCTTCCAGTTGAGTATCTTCACCTTTGATTGTTCCTCGTTCCTTTCCATAAGTACTCTTGAATCTATTGATGTTGTGATCACTGTTGTCCAAATGCTCTGCTACTGAAATTGCCCCACTTCATTTCCCAGAACTAGATCCAGCACTGCTTCGTTCCTCGTTGGACTGGAAACATACTGATCCAAAAAGTTATCCTGCACACATTTCTGGAATCTTTCTGCCTCCTTGCCCTTTACACTGTTATTTTGCCAATCTATGTTAGGATACCTCCTCTCTCCTCAAAACAGTGCCCGTTGCCTTCGTTCCACCGGATCTGGCCTCTTCGTCGCCCCCCGAGTCCTCCTCTCCACCCTCAGCGGCCGTGCCTTCAGCCACTATGCCCCGAAGGTCTGGAACTCCCTTCGCCTCGCCCTTCTTTCTATTTTCAGGTCTCGGCTGAAGACATTTCTTTTCGACCGCACCTTTGGTCACCTTCCTCCCCCTGGCTTGGCCCCAGGATCTGTTACTGTGAAGCGCTCTGAGACGCCGTCTGATGTGGAGGGCGCTATATAAATCCCATTTATCACTACTCTATTGGTTTTGCATCTTTCTGAAATCTGCTTGCAGATTTTGCTCGTCTATCTCCTTACCACTATTGGTGGTCAAAAGCATTCTGCTCGTTAACTGTAACCAAACAGATTCTGTTTTTTGGACCCTCTAGCACATCGTCCCTTTCCAGGGCCGTAACCGTGTCTATTAATCAATATTGCCACCCCCCTCCTTTTTTTCCTTCCTATCTCTCCTGAATACATATTATTCAGCTCCCATTCCTACCCTTGTTTGAGACGGATTTCTGTTATTGCCACTGTATCATAACCCCATGTGACAACTTGAGCCTGCAGCTCACCAATCTTATTTGTCACACTTCATGCATTTACATTAGAATATACAGCACAGAAACAGGCCATTTGGCCCATCTCGTATGTGCCGGTGTTTAGCTCCACAGGAGCCTTACGCACATGCACGCCAAGACCGACTTAGTCTGTTCTGCATTTCTCCCCCGTCTGATCCCTCCTTTTTCTGGATTACTCCGTATTACATTGCTATTAGTCTCTCCCAGCCCTCTATGTAACTTGTTTGTCTTCTCTAATGCTACATCCTGATTCCCTTACCCCTCAAAATTAGTTTAAACCTTCCCCACAGCACTAGTTAATCTCCCTGCGAGGACATTGGTCCCAGTCCTGTTCAGGTGTAACCTATCCACCTTGTACAGGTCCCGCCTGCCCCAGAATTGGTCCGAATGATCCAGCCCTCCTTTCTGCACTATTTCTCAAGCCATGCATTCATGTATTTGATCCTGCCGTTTTGATACTCACTTGCACAAGGAGTAATCCAGAGATCACCACCTTTGAGGTCCTACTCTTTAGCTTTTTCCCTAGCTTCTGATACTCTCTCTGTAGGATCTCAGCCCTTTTTTTCCCTTATGTCATGGATCCCAACATGGACTACATCTTCTGGATGTTACCCTTCCCTCTGTAGAACGTTTTGCATCCGTTCTGCGATGTCTGAACCCTGACACCAGGGAGCAACATACCACGTGAGAGTCATGTCTCTGGTTGCAGAAATGCCTGTCTACTCCTTTCACCATTGTGTCCCCAATGACAATTTCTGTTGCTAGCTCATCTATCTTAAATTATCTTAATTGGTTAACAAAATAGCAGTATAAATTGAGCATGAAAAAATATAAACTTCAGGTGATGTAATCTTGGTTTACCATAAGAGAATCATCTGAGAAGCTGGAAGGATGACGGATGTGAGAAATGGGAATGTTATATTCATGCACAATGAGTTTGGAATTTGGAAATAGAACAGTATGGAAACTTCATTCCTATTCTCCCCATGCTGTGTCTGTCAGTGCCTTACATTTAAACTAATTGAACAGAAGAAAAATGTGTCATTTTGCAGCCTGTATGGTTTCTTTATAGAGGATTGAATTTTGCTGGTGCAGCATAGATTTTTTTAAAATAGTTTTCCACTGTTTCACACCACAAGCTGCCGAAGCCCTAATACACGCATTCATAACATCCAGACTTGACTATGCAAACTCTCTGCTTGTCGGCCTCCCCAACTCCTCTTTCCATAGACTGTAGATCATCCAGAACTCTGCAGCCCGTGTCCTCTCCAGCACCAGGCTCCGTGGCCCCATCAACCCCATCCTCGCTCAACTCCACTGGCTTCCCATCGCACAGAGGATACAGTTCAAGATCCTGGTCCTCACCTTCAAAACCCTCCATAGCCTCGCTCCTCCCTACCTCTGCGACCTCCTAACCCCCTACCGTGCTGTCCACTCCCTCCGCTTAGTGGGCTGCGGCCTGCTTCAGACCTGTGGCCCGAGACCCCCGCTTTGCTCACCCCACCATTGGTGGGTGGGCCTTCTGCCACTCTGCCCCCACCCTCTGGTACTCCATCATGCAGTCCCTCTGTCTCGCCCCCTCCCTTGCCTCCTTCAAGACCCATCCCTCTTCATGCTTTCAATCACCCTCCTCCCTCCACCATCCCCAGTCCCGATTCCTAGCTCGGGTCCGAAGCACTGACTGTCCAATGCCTTGGGACTTCCTCCCGACATGAAAGGCGCTATACAAATATAATTTTGTTGTTGTAAAGCTTTATTTCTTTTTGAGAAAAAATAGTGATCATGGACTTTTTTCCATTGTCGGCTGATTTAATAGGGCTTACTGGTCTGTCAGTTCTTCTCTGGGGAAGGAACTAACCTGAATGCGAAATCAGAAAACTACACTACATGCAATTATTCAAACATGCAAATACATGTTCTTGCGCTTCTGCTTTTTTTCCCTAAGACTTTTTTTCTTGTACTTTTGACAAAACCTCTAGAACTGTTAAGAGTTCAGAGCTACTCCAATGCCCTCCTCGCTGGCCTCCCATCCACTACCATCCATAAAATCCAACTCATTCAGAACTCTGCCGCCCGCATTCTCACCCGCACCAAACTCTGCTCCCTGATCACCTCAGTCCTGGCCAGACTGCACTGGCTGCCTATCCTAGAGAGGATCGATTTCAAGATCCTCACCCTCGTAATCAAGTCCCTGCACTCCTCTGCACCCACCGACCACTCTGACCTCTCTCCTCAAAACAGCACCCTTTGCCTTCTTTCCTCCGGGTCTAGCCTCGTCCTTGTCCCCCGAGTCCTCCGCTCCACCCTCGACGGCCGTGCCTTCAGCCACTATGCCCTGAGGCTCTGGAACTCCCTTCCTCACTCCCTTCATCTCGCTCCCTCCCTTCCCATTTTCAGGTCTCTGATGAAGACCTTTCTTTTCAACCGTGCCTTTGGTCACTTCCCCCCCCCCTTCCCCCTGCCTCGATCCAAAACTGTAAAGCGCTCTGAGACACCGTCCGGCATGGAGAGCGCTATATATAAATCCAAGTTGTTGTTGAGTTTTAAAAAAAATCCAGGATTGGTGCTGCTTTGCTGCAGTATTGATAAACTACCAGCAAGTCTGACATGCTGCACAATCTCTTTTTTCAACTGGAGCTGTGAATGTTGATTTGACTTTTGAAAAAGTGGTGGAAGTTACACCACTAAATATCTCAACATAAATAAATCTTGCGTTCACGTCTGGCATTTGAAACCAGGTCTATTTAATTTCCATTTTGTTTTTATTTTTATTTCCCATCCTGCTCTCCATGCCAGCGCCATTCATTCATTGATTAAGAGCGGAGCAAGTGTGTTGAAGGACTGAATGGTTCACCTTGCAATTTAAAAATAAAACTTTCCTACAATGGAATCACCTATGGCTCTCTCTCAGGTCTCTCTCGACTCCCCAGTTCCTGACCAAGACCACATAAATTATCAAATGCCTATCACACCCATCCTCCCCAGGCTCCTTGTTGTTTTTGTACTACGAGTACTTTCAATAAGAAGTGATCTCTCTGGACTGAAGTTACTCTTTATGATCTTCACAATTTACCAGTTAATTACATAATCCACTAATTTATTCAAAAAAGTGTTGTAGGTATTGTATAGTTTAAGATTATCTGGCAGTATTCTACTACATATGTTTTAAAAACTAGAAAGTGTAGTATAATCTAAAGTTGAGAGGTTTTATTTTCATTGCACTGATTCTGTTTTGTGGTATTTTATTATAGGACAGTTGGTGGTGTGTACTCTTTGCTCCTTTGTCATGAAGACAAAGCAGATCTGGTTGTTCTCTGTCCATCTGCTGCCTCTGCTGGCACGATTCTGCATGGTACCTGTAGAAATGCTCGTCGTCATCAACAGGTTTGCCATGATTTTCACTGGGCTAGAGGTGCTTTACTTCCTCGCCTCCAACCTGCTGGTGCCATATAAACTAGCCAAGTCAGCATACAGAGAGCTGGTACAGGTGAGTGAACTTATCCATTCAAGTTGAATTTCAGTATAATTCATTATTAAACGTAGATGAAGGGTCAAAGCTTAAAGTGCAGTATAAAGATAATTATTAAAGCTTAGTTTGAACATTATGCCTGTTAATTTCATTCATTTCACCAGTGTAATTCTGTATGAAGGTTACAGATAAATGGCTCAAGAATCTTGGGCAAGTTTCCTTACTCCACATGCCTAATAATAATAATAATACCTACAAAACAATAATAAATTGGTCATTTTCAATCCACGACTGTTTATGGGACACTCCTGTGCGCAATTGGCTGCCACATTTCGTCCATAAATATACAGTTAATTCACTTTACAGTCTTCTGTGAAGCCCTTTGAGATGTCGAAGATGTGAAAAGCGCTATATCAAATGCAAGGATTATTATTAAGAACAGAATTGAGCTTTGTTCTGGTGTTAACTTACTATGATTTGCGTGATAGATGCCCAAGGAAAACCTGATTAAGGGGAGAATAAATATTTTACCTTACTATTTATCTGGTTTAAAACACTAACCATAAACCGTACTTAGTACCTTTGTTATTTTCAGGAATACGATGTAGGAATATCAGCAGTACTGTGCCAAAACTGAAATAAAGTACTTTGGATGGACTTTTTATAATAATCCTTGTATTTGATATAGCATCTTATATTATGAAAGCGTCTTGAAGCACTTTACAGGATATGCTGTAAAGTGGTGTTACTGTGTGCATTTTGTGGCTAAACAACAATATTTGAGGACAGACTTGTGACACCTTTACCTGTATTCCAGACGGTTTCTTCCTGGACCGTGCAACCTATTGGCAATAGGTTGGAATCTTGAATTGGAATCTGGAATTTTACACCTGAAATCATGGTATTTCTGTGATTGCTGAGAGCTCACGTTAGCAGGTGGTAAGCTACATGTAGCAGGAAGAGTGAGCAGATATTTTTTAAAAACAAGAAACCAATTTTCTTGACATCTGTAGCCTCAACCAATATCTATTGGGAGCAAAATATCAGCTATTTCCCTTTTTATAAATTAAGTGCTCCAACTACTGAACTATATTTGGACTTAACAATTTCCCATGATTTAGTGTGAAACTTTGTCCAGAAATTTCTGTTTAAATCGATATGTTGGATGAATGCATGTTGTGCTTTTTCATTGCATTAAAGAGCTTCTTTATATTGGTAACTTTTCAGGCAAATTTAAATTCCTTGAAAAGATGCAATTAAACATTCCCCTAACAAATCGTCCATGTTGCTATCGTTAATAGTGCAATGCACCAGTTGGTATATCTGCTTTGCTTTCTGTGTTTTTAATGCATCTTTTCTGGGGAAAGTTGAGATGAAATTTGGAGCAGGCCTATTGGTAATATGTTTGTGCACTGATTGACCTAGTATTTCTGTTCTTGTGAAGTTTCTTGCAATATCTTTTGCTCTGTTATTTTCCTTAAATTGGTGATTTCTGAATTATGTTATTGTCAGCAACCAGTACCTTCAGGTTAGGTGTAACACAGACATGACTCGCTGTAAAGCATCCTTGCTCTGTGTCAAAGAGTACCTTAACTCCAGTCTTAAAAGAGTAGTCTTCCCTGCATTATTTCCCACAGCACAGAAGGAGGCCATTCGGGCCGTTGTGCTGTGCCGGCTCTTTGAAAAGAGCTGTCCAAATCAATCCCGGGCTCTCCCCATAGCCCTGCAAACTTGTCCTCCCCAAATAATTATCTACTTCTCTCTTGAAAGTTCTTATCGAATCAGCATTTCTATACATTTTTAAATTACTAGATTAGTCTCAATTTATACTAAATTATGTTCATTTTTTTGGTCTACGTTGCAATTCAGGGAATGGGCAACGATTGGAAGAGAAAATCCATTGACCTGTTAAGTCAAAATATATATCAGCATTTGGAGCACTTTTTAAAAACAATGGGAAATGACTGAATTGTCCCAAATGGTGTAGACTGGACGGGGAAAAAAAACCCTGAGGGAACCGCCTCCCCTTCACTGACATCCCACTTTAAGCACAATGATACTTTTAACATGTGTAATGTCAACATAATCATGGGATTGTGGCATAGGAGTCTTAATAGGCATTAATGTAACTTAATTTCACTCATTGCCTTTTTCATCCTCTCCTTGGACAGGTGGTAGAGGTGTATGGGCTGCTGGCACTGGGAATGTCTCTCTGGAATCAGTTGGTTGTGCCTGTGCTCTTCATGGTCTTCTGGCTTGTCCTGTTTGCCCTGCAGATCTACTCTTATTTCAGCACTCGCGATCACCCCACTTCTCGTGAGAGATTGCTCTTCCTCTTCCTTACAAGGTAAGATTAAGTGTTGACCTTGGCTTGTAGGGTTTTTTGCATTCATTTGCGGGGTTTATAAACACTTCAACCCTGAACTTTTGATTAGCAGCACCAGTTTTTATTCTAATTATTATTAGGAAGTATTATTTTTTTACTCTCATATCATGCACTGCTGCTTATTTAATTTTCAAGTTCCAGTTTCTATTTAACTTTTGGGGAAAAGGAACATAATGCCAAATTATGCAAAATTTGGATTCCCTTGATGTGATTAATATAAACATCAATAAACGCCAGAAAATAATGCTGTTTTCAGACTAATGCTTTAGTTAAATAGTGTGAAGAAAGGATATATAAATGATTTGACTACGAGATACCAAATATCTAAAGATTAAACTTAACTTTTTCCTGATCATGTTCTATCACTAACATTTCCTTTTTCTGACTGGAGCTGGACTTATTTTTACCTCACACATAGAACATAAGAATTAGGAGCAGCAGTAGGCCATTCAGCCCCTCAAACCTGCCCCGCCATTCAATAAGATCATGGCTGATCTATTCTAACTCCACCTACCCGCCTTATCCCCATGTCCCTTCATCCACAAGAAATCTATCAATCTCAGGCTTGAATATGTTCAAGGACTGAGCATCTACAGCCCTTTGTGGTAGAGAATTCCATAAATTCACTACCCTCTGAGTGAAGAAGTTTTTCCTCAACTCAGTGTGAAACGGCTTACCCCTAATTTTAAGATTGTGACCCCTGGTTATAGTTTCTCCAAACAGGGGAAAAAGTCTCCCACTATTCTTTCGTGCCCCTTAATAATCTTATAGGTTTCTATAAGATCACCTCTCATTCTTCTATATTCTAGAGAATATAGGCCTAAATTGCTCAACCTATCCTCATAACTCACCCCCCTCATCCCAGGTACCAGCCTAGTGAATCTGCGTTGTACCTCCTCCATAGCGGGTACATCCTTTCTTAAATAAGGAGACCAAAACTGCACACAATACTCTAGGTGCTGTCTCACCAGGGCCCTATACAGTTGCAGCAAGACTTCCCTACTCTTATATTCTAACACTTTTGTAACAAATGCTAACATACCGTTAGCCTTCCTAATTGTACCTGCAAACTAACTTTTTGTGACTGGTGGACAAGTCCCTCTGACCGCTAACACTATCTAGTCTCTCGCCTTCTAAAAAAATAATCTGCTCTACTGTTTTTGCCACCTAGGTGGATGACTTGACACTTCCCTACATTATACTTCATCTGCCACCTATTTGCCCACTCACCTGCCTATCTTTATCTCGTTGCATTTTTTTAATGTCATCCTCGGTGTTTACTCTCCCTCCTAGTTTAGTGTCATCCGCGAATTTGGATACATTAAGTTCGATGTCCTCATCTAGTTTGTTGATGTAGATTGTAAATAGTTGAGGCCCAAGCACTGATCCTTGTGACACTCCACTAGTCACATCCCGCCAATCTGGAGTCCTGTAGCTCAGTGGTTAGAGCACTCGCTTTGCAAGTGAGAGACCTGAGTTCAATTCCAGGCAGGGCGAAACCTTGGGCAAGTTTCCTTACTCCACACGCCTAATAATAATCCCTCCAAAAAACCAAAAACAATAATTAAATTGGTCATTTTCAATCTACGACTGTTTGTGGGACATTGCTGTGCGCAATTGGCTGCCGCGTTCGCCCACAAATATACAGTCAATTCACTTTACAGTGTGTTCTGTGAAGCGCTTCGGGACGTCCTCCTGACGTGAAAAGCGCTATATCAAATGCAAGGATTATTATTAATCTGAGAAGGACCCCTTTATCTCTACTCTTTGTTTTCTTCCCGTTAGCCATTCTTCAATCCATGCTAATATATTCCCCTTAATTCCAAGTACCATAATCTTGTGGATCAACCTTTTATGCGGCACCTTATCGAACGCCTTTTGGAAATCTAAATACACTATATCTGCTGATTTCCCCCTATCTAATCTACTTGATATGTCCTCAAAAAAAATCTAAAAGATTTGTTAAGCATGACTTCCCTTTTGTAAAGCCATGTTGACTCTGTTTAATCATATTGTGATCCTCTTAAATATCCCACTATGACATCCTTAATTAAGGATTCTAGAATTTTGGAAGATCAGACACAAGGCCTCCACTATCTCATGAGCTACTTCTTTTAAAACCCTATGATGCAAACCATCAGGTCCACTTGTCACTTTTTAATCCCAACAATTTCCCTAGCACCAATTCTTTGCTAATGTAAATTTCCCTAAATTGCTCCCTATCATTAGCACCTTGGTTTATCTCTATTTCTGGTAAACTTCTTGTGTCTTCTAACGTGAAGACAGAAGCAAAGTATTTATTTAGGGACTCTGCCATATCCTTATCCCCCATTATAATTCCTCCTGTCTCTGCCTGTAATGGACCCACATTTACTTTTGCTAGCCTATTCCTCTTAAGTATTTATAAAAACTCTTACAATGTTCCTAGCTAGCTTGCCCTCATAATCCATTTTCTCACTCTTAATGAGCTTTTTGGTTTTCCTGGTAGCAAAGCAAGGATGGTCTGGTTCGTTTCAGCGCCTTGGGACGTCCTCCCGACGTGAAAGGCGCTCTATAAATGGAATCTTGTTGTTTTTTAAGATAAGTTACAAACATACCTTTTTATTATTTCAGTATTGCAGAATGTTGCAGTACTCCTTATTCTCTGCTGGGGCTCATGTTCACAGTCTCCTTCATTACGCTGGGTGTCCTCACGCTTTGCAAGTTCTACCTTCAAGGTTATGGAGCTTTCATGAATGACAACCTAATGCACAGGTATGACATTTAATATTAGCAACTACTTGTACTTGTATGAGGAAATTGTCTCGGAAAGTCGCAGTGCAAGCCACAGCAGATTAGCAGCACAGGAAGTGTTGGAGGGAGGTAAATCCAGGATGCAGTGAAAGAGAAGCTTTTAGATTGGTTTTAGAAAGTAGAGGGTGAGGCTGAGTTGGGTGGGGGTGGGGAAATAGAGCACCACAAATGATCACAGAGATCTGTAGGGGCAACGGTGTGAACGTATGTAAAGATGAGAACAAGGATTTAAAGTTAATCTCCTAGATAAAGGGGAAGCCAGTGGAGCCTGAGGAAGATGTGGGGTCATGGGTTTCCAGAGCCTGGTATGGGAAAGGGTATGACAGTAAAAAAAATTATAACAAACCTATGCTGTGATTGACTTGATGGTTAAATAACCTACTGACTAGGCTCATGAAAAAAAAGTTATTTGGGTGAGATATTGGCATGGTAGATTTATACATGAGCATGATTTAGGATCTTGAGGAGGAGAAACTTATATAACAAAGGGGACATATCAGATAGTATTTTGAAAAATATATATCTTGTACCCACTTTTCACAGAGGAATGACAGAAGGTATAACACTGCTTATCCTGGCAGTCCAGACTGGCCTGATTGAGTTGCAGGTTGTGCATCGAGCGTTCCTACTCAGTATCATCCTCTTCATCGTGGTAGCTTCCATCCTTCAGTCAATGTTAGAAATTGCTGATCCCATCGTTCTTGCACTTGGAGCTTCAAGAAACAAGTAAGATTATCTTTAAGCAAAAAATTAGTATTGTGTTAGTGATAATTGGGGCCAATAGAACATTGCGGAAATATTTGCCAAAAAAAACGCAGCGCAGACTCAAACGGCCAAATTGTCCATTTCTCCCTGCACTACCTTTAAAGACCTGGAGATCCACTGAACACCAGCATTGCTCGCTATGCTGGCCAGTGACTGCGGGGCTCCAGGATATCACAACGTCCTGCCTCTTGAGGCCCGACATCGCACACAGACATCCGGAGAGAGTCACTTGCACACTCAGAGAGAGAGAGAGGAGAGAGACGCGCACAGACACAGAGAGAGACGCACGTTCACAAACGCACACAGACACAGTGTGCCTGCAGGCAATCTCAATAGCGGCGCCTCGGAGCAGAGTGGGCTGCGGTTCACTCATCAGTGAGAGAAGATCATTTCCCGCCCACGCTTCTATTGCGATCCCAACATCCGTGCAGGCCGCACTTGTCCGTCCAGAGCTGCTTGGCCCACAGTAGTGGCACAGAGTCTCCAAAAAACAGGCCCCGAGCAAACTTCACTTTTGCTGTTTTTCGCGGATTCCGCGGAAAATAGCAGGTGCAATTTTGTGTTGGCCCAGGTCATACATAAAAGTATTATGCTAAAGATTGATCCAAGTGGCTGTTGTTCCTCCAGACCTCTCGTACAAGTTTGTGGGCAACAGCAAAGATTCCTCATATTTACCTCTCTTCAAATTGTGTAATTGACACGCTGTTTGAATTATTTGCTAATTTATTTTCCAGATTGAGTACAGACTGAGACATTTTGTGTTTCATATGTCATTTCTTATATTTCTTATATGCTTGCTTGCAGGAGCCTGTGGAAGCACTTTCGGGCAGTTAGCCTGTGTTTGTTTTTGCTGGTGTTCCCAGCCTACATGGCCTACATGATTTCTCAGTTTTTCCAGATGGACTTTTGGCTGCTTATCATTATTTCCAGCAGCATTCTAACCTCTTTGCAGGTAATGGACAAACTTCAATCCGTGGCATCTAATTAGCATTAGTACACGACATGATCCTAAAGAATAACTGTTTTGTTCCATCAACCGAAATCAACAGTTTGAAGATGACTATAAATCTGTAAACATTGCGTGGGAGGTCCAAGTCAGCAACAATTTATTTTCATCTGAATACAGATAGCTCCTCCCTCCCCAAAGGATTTTATTATTTAGTGCATCACATGCTATCCATGTGTCTTCTCTCACATGGGATTGTCAACAACTTTTGCTATAATCTTTAGGATACTGATATCTAGGCTGTTCTGCTGTAGGTATTAGTTTAGTGGTTACACTTCAATGTGGTGTGCAGATATGAAATTGGATTTGGCATTTTGAAGTAATTTCCAGGTGGGGAGGATTGTATATTCTTCTATCGTCCCCAAGTGTTTAGCCTTCTGTCTTGTTCTGAGAAATGCACCTCCTCTTGGCTGAGCCTCTTAACCAAATAACATAAGAAATGCCGGACGAAAAAAGGCCTAGGTCCATCTAGTTCGCCTTCCATCTTCCTGGCGGTTGTATACGCGTGTCCCAAACTACCTATATATCTCATAATATTACTTCCTAAAAGAAAACTATCTAATCTGTGTTTGAAAGAATCAACACTTCCTGCTTCAACCATCTCCCAAGGGAGCCTGTTCCACAGGTTCACGATTCAGTCACTGAAATAGTGTTTACATAGATTCGTTCTGAATTTACCCCTCTTCAATCACAGGCTGTGTCCTCTGGTTTTACTGTTCTATTCCAAATATTGTCATCTTTATAGTTGGTTATTGTTGGAGTACATATGTAATAAAGGAAGTGTGGGAGAAATAATTATCCAAATCAAAGTTCAGATGTAATATTTCAGCTCATAGATCAGTGAAACCTTTTCTCATGAATCGGAAACTTTAGTTGCCAGTGAAATTCTGGGTCAGATCCGCAAGTGTCCAGTTATGCTGTACAAAATAAGTGCATGCTCAGCTCCTTGATGTTGATGGGGGTTTTAGATTTTCAGAATATTTAAGTGAGAACTGCAGGGTAATTTAATGAGTAAGAAAAAAAGCTTAATTGAAGCTTCTCAAAGCATTTTACAGTAATAGCTGTCAAATGTAGTGACTGTATTTGTAAACAATTGCAGCAGCTAATTTGTAAACAGTCAGGCCCACATACGGCCGTGCTGACCAATTTAACTGCAAGATTGTTAATGAAGAGGAGAAACTTTATTTTCAAATTGTATCACGGGGTCTTTAACATCCAGCTGAATAGGCAGGCGGGTGGGCCTTCGGTTTAATGTCTTGTCAGAAGGACGGTGCCTCCAACATTGCAGCACTTCCCCCAACCCTATACTGGACTGTCAACCAAGACAATGAGCTCAAAGTCTCCCGACTCAGAACTTGAATCCACAATCTTCTGTCTTGGAGGCGAGTATTCTACCAGTTGAGCCTCGCTGACAGAGTTATTAGGGTAGGAAGAGGGAGAGAAACGAAATGTAATATAGGAAAAATAATCCCTTCCCATTCAACTTGAGCATCATTTCTGATCAGTCAGCCAAGGACAAGTATTTGATGTATTTATACACCTCTATGGCCTCTATTGTTTCACCTAGTCAGTTGTGGATTTATTGAGGATTCGGCACACCCATGCTGACTATACATGAATTATTTGAGGAATTTGGATCCAAGTATTCAATGGGCTTTTGGATGAAAATTGATCAACCATTTTTAGCTAAATAATACTGCATCCCCATATTATCCGATTTTCTTTCAGTGATGTTTTAGTTAATAATAGATAAGTACAAACGTTGGAGTTCAGTCTTTTTACATCCTATTATGCAGTTGTCATTCATGATTTACTGCAACTGTTTATTAACTTGCAGGTGCTGGGAACACTCTTCATCTATATCCTCTTCATGGTCGAGGAATTCAGTAAGGAGCCAATGGAGAACCTTGATGATGTGATTTACTATGTGAATGGTACCTATCGCTTGCTGGAGTTCCTGGTGGCTCTGTGTGTGGTTGCATATGGTGTAGCAGAGACAATATTGGGAGAATGGACATGGATGGGTTCTTCCATCATCTTTGTCCACTCTTACTTCAATGTCTGGCTTCGAGCGCAGTTGGGATGGAAGAGCTTTCTTCTCCGCAGGGATGCAGCAAACAAGATCAACTCGCTGCCAACTGCCACGAAAGAACAGCTTGAAGAGCACAATGACATTTGTTCCATCTGTTACCAGGTATGTAGCATGGCACCAGTGAAACACTTAAACCCTGGCTTTAGTACCCAAACTGTCTCTATCAGGACTATCGCAGTTGGCTGCCCTTCTGTTCGGTTCGTATTCTGTATGTGTATTATCTTTTACTAATTCTTATTGCCATAAAACTGTTTTCATTACCTTTCAGTGTCACTTGAGTTATGAAACAGCTAAATGCACTCGAAACTTAAAAAGTAGTTGGTAGTTTACAACGTTCTCTGGGTAACTTTGAGGTTAGATATTTTGTGAAAGACAACTATGTTGTCAGCAGAGCTGGATTAACGCAGGGGCTTTAGGGGTGCAGCCTCAGGCCTCGGATCTTGGTGGGGGGCGCCCATAAAAGAGTGGGTCACGATCCTGGGCGCAGCAGGAGTGCTGCACAGTCTTAACGTTCTGACATCCGCAGAGATCGAGATTTCTCTGGGTTTCAATCCGCTTTTGTACATGCACGAGAAGCCTCATTTTTCGGCTTTTCGTGCATGCACAAAAGTGACTGACTGGGCCAATAGAAAATCATGGTCCGGCGCTTGTTGGAGCAGCGGGATATGAGCTTTGCTTGCTGATGTTTGACTGCGGCCTTGCACAGGGACCCCACTGTACCCGTTAGATTGTGTCTCTCCTCTATCTGTATATGTGTGCGTGTGTGTGTCTATTTGTGAATTCTGTGTGTGTCTCTGTCTGTGTATCTTTGTTTGTGAGTGTGTCTTTTTTTCTCTCAAGCTTTTTTTAAAAGGAAAAAATAAGTTCCTTAATACCTGTTGACTATAACGTTTTTGATTACTGCTGTAAGTTTATAGGTGTTTGTCTATTGCTATCACCTATTGACTGAACTAAATTAGCTTGTACAGTACTGACATTGAAGAATAGAAGTATAAACCAAGCACAATAACAATTTTAAGTAGTAAGACAACAATCCAAGTGCACATTCTGTATGGTAGGTTTTACTATGGTGCTACTATTTTTTTTTAACCAGCGTCTGTCTCCAGGATAGCAGATGGCTGCTTAATTGAGTTGCAGGTTGTATTGAATTACATATAAATTAGAAACCTATTGGTTTTGAGGAACACTGGCTTTATTGCGCAGGTGGCTGTTTATTGAAGGTGAGCAGAAGGACAGCTTTTACTGTCTGTATAAATGTCTTGTGTTTTAGTTTTGTGCAAGTCACTGGAGGATTCTCCTTATTCATCCCTCATCAATTATCTGCGGTGTTCTCTCATCCTTCCCCTTCTACAGCTCCACAAACTCTGTTTTTTGGTGTCTCAACCAAGCAGCCTTTATTTACATGTACAGCTTGACGGTGAGTGCTGGCAGGCAGTTTTTTGGAGGGGAGGGAGGTAATTGTAAGTTACAAAGAAACCCAATCCTATCTTTGATTGAATCTTCAGCATCGATACTTAGATAGTGGTCAGGAGCTGGAAACTAGAATGATTTTCTCACTATCCCCATTGTAACCCCAGGATGTTTAGGTCAATTGTTGAGCACTTCTCCACTGCCTTCCTTAACTGAAGGAGGAGCAGTTTGCTGTTGGACCTGGATAATGCACCTCTGTTTCTGGATGCTAGATGACATTTGAGATGCAAGAGTGACTTATTTAGTCTGAATTGTGAGGAAACCACCTTTCTTAATTCCCCCCAACCCTATGTGTGCTTATTGCTCAGGATATCATAGTACTGAATCTGCATCTTGAAGTCCATGGAGCATGATAAGCTATTCCATTGAAAATAAATTTAATTTTATAAATGTTATCATGTTAACTCACTTTTTCAATAGCAGTACTACCAATTGAGCCTAGCTGACATCAAGTACTTCAGTAATTACCGTCTTCATTTTGTTTCCACAAACGGCTTTTCCTCCAGCTCCCGCACTGTCTTGTGCGGTGTCCCTCAGGGCTCTGTCCTCGGTCCCCTCCTCTTCACCCTCTATATGCTCCCCCTTGGTGATATCATCCGCAGACATGGGGTTAACTTCCACGTGTATGCGGATGACACCCAACTCTACCTTTCCTCTACCCTCAACTCCACGACCACCGATGTCCTGACAGCTGCCTGTCCGACATTGAGTCCTGGACGAGAGACAACCTTCTTCAGCTCAACATGTGCAAAACTGAGGCCCTCCTGATTGGCTCACGTTAGCGCCTCCGCACCTCAGGCGCTGACAGCATCAGCATCCAAGGCTGCACTCTCCACCTCTCAAAGCCAGTCAGGAACCTCGGGGTTCTGTTCGACCCTGAGCTGTCCTTTCTTCCTCATATCCGCGCCACAACTGGCACCGCCTTCCATCACCTCCGAAACATCGCCAGACTACGGCACTACCTCACCCCTCACGCTGCTGAAACTCTGGTCCACGCCTTGATCACCTCAAGGCTGGACTATGGGAACTCTCTCCTCGCCGGCCTTCCCGGCACCTCCCTCCACACTGCAGGTCATTCAGAACTCTGCAGCTCGTGCACTGTCCCGCACCAGACACCGCGACCACATCACTCCCACCCTCGCTCGCCTCCACTGGCTCCCCATCCCCCAGAGGATCGAATTCAAGATCTTCATCCTCAACTACAAGGCCATTCATGGCCTTGCACCCTCCTACCTCTCCAACCTACTATCCCCCTACCTACCTGCCCATACCCTCCGTTCCTCTGGCTCCGGTCTGCTCCACATCCCCCGCCCCAACCACCCCATTGGTGGCCGGGCCTTCAGCCTCTCAGCCCCCAGGCTCTGGAACTCCATCCCCCAGGGCCTTCGCCGCCTCCTCCCTTTCCTCCTTCAAGACCGGTCTCTTTAACCGTGCCTTCAGCTCCCCTCTCGACTCTCTACCCCCTCTTCGCTCCCTCCCTTCCCTCCCCTCACCATTTCCCCCCAATGCTCGGGTCCTGACCCAACTGTCCAGCGCCTTGGGACGTCCTCCCGACGTGAATGGAATCTTGTTGTTGTTGTTGGGTCCAGTATGTTTGCAGGAGGCCATTTGTTCTCCACAAAAAGCCTCGAGATGAATGGATAACTTATCTAGAAGACTGTTGGCCAGTAAGGGGGGGGAAGAGAATCCCTCTTTGTTTTTAATTTGTTAAAAGATCTTTAATTCTGCCTGAAAATGGGAGGTATTAGTAAAAACTGTATTCCGTTTTGGAACTTTTATTCTCAATTAAAGAAAGCTGCAATCTTCAGTTTGGGCAAAACATGATTAGTCTGCAGTTCAAGGCACGTAAAGAAAAAATATAAGTTGAAGGTAAACTTAATGTTTAGTCTCACAGATGAATTTGTAAAAGCAAAAATAATTTAATACATATCTATGTAATAGTCCAGTAAAGTATCATTATAATCCTGTCCATGTGTTCCCATATGCTTTTACTTACCAAGTTACTCACCTTTACTCATTACCTTTTTATCTATGTCACTGTAAGAAAAGTAAAATTGTGTTTTTAAAACACATCTCAGATTATGTAAAAAGTAATGCATCTGGTGATGAATTTTAAGACAGTAATTCAATATTCTTTTCATAAGTTTGAGCTTTGCTCTCTTGATATCACTGTGCAATTGAATTAGTGCTCATATCAAACGTCCACAAAATAAGAATTATTTGCAGTAAATGTCGTGGCAAGTGTATGCAAGTGGACGAATGGTAGTAACAGAATCATGCTAGGCAGTGTTGCCTTTACCAGTTGAGTAGCCTGCTGATGTTAACTGTCTAGGCAGGCTCAGTGGAAAGAATGACATTTGGGTGAAATAATGACGGTCAGGAGCAACCAGGCAGAAGTAAAGAGTGGAAAGAGTGACTTGGGGGAGGGAAGTAAATTGGAAGGAGGACAGCATTTACTAAATATAAGAATGCTGTCATCAAACTGTATACTGTGTCATATTATCTGACTTTCCATATAGAGCAAAATCTTAAGAACAGTTTTTGATTGGAGATGAGCTTAGGTTTCATTTTAGCATTACGTTTGGGAAATCTTGACATGTGTATGATCCCAGAGATGAGAGGATCCTGGTGCATTTTCCCTGGAGGAACGTGAACCCAGTCCAAAATGATGGCTTTCACTTCATTTGCAGTTAATGTACAAAAGCTGCATCTCTCAAGCTGAATGCCACCTCACCTATTTTGACCAGTACATCTATCTTCTTTGTATTTTTTGGAGTGGCAGTGGCCCGTGTAATATCTTAAGTTGAGCTGTTCCAGACCTTGAAATCGTAAATAGTAAATACAAGCAGCTTGTTCTTTGGATGGTATTAACCAGTTGTTAACATAACATTTCTGAATAGCGATTGCTCTTTGAGTCTCGAGTCAGTTATAACAAAAGTTTTTTTTTGTTCTTCAGGACATGCACTCTGCTGTGATTACACCGTGCAGCCATTTCTTTCATTCGGCCTGTCTCAAGAAGTGGCTGTATGTGCAAGAAACATGCCCGTTGTGCCATCAGCGCCTGAAATCTGCAGGACAGCAGCCTGGTGCAATAGCAACACCAGCTCAGGAGATAGATGAGCAATTAGTCCAGAATGAGAGGAGACCGGAGCAAGAATTAGCTGGACAGGAACTTGTCCATCTTGAAGACTCTCTGGATCCAGGTCCTGAAGATGGCCCTAAATTGCACAACAAAGAGGGTCCGGAATCTGGAAACACTAGTGCTTCTAACGGAGACCGAGAAACAGACAGAGATCCGCGTATACATAACAGCACCTTTACTGGTACAGACGAGAATCCATATCTAAGAGACCTTTGCCCAGATAAAGATCGATTGCCTGTTGTGAGAACAGCTGTTAATGAACAATGCATGGAGTTGCCACAAGCCCATAGTGGGGAATTGCATGAAGCAGAGTCATCCCACAAGCTGCCATGATACCGCAGTGGTGTGTAAAGAGAAGCCTAGACAATGCAGGCAATGGCTTGATAGATGAAATGATGGCTTTAAGTAACGAGGAGAAGTGAAAAATGTTTGCAGAGAAAGAGTGCAGTGTTCTCACAAGCGGGTCTGGAGACGTCTGTAAGAAAAGGGATCTCATGATCTCACTGCCACATTATCATTATAGTATTACATAGCCATGGCAAGAGGAGGGTGTTTTTGCTAGAGATTTTGTAGGCATGAAAATAACTATTAGGTGATTGAACGTATTATATTTATATAACTAGAAGCTTTTAAGCATGTTTAGAGTCACATGCTGCAAAGCAGACTTTTTTTATTTTTTGTAGCTCAGTATTGTCACTACGATTGCACTGTCATAGTTTATAGTGCATCTCCAAAATAATCAACAAGTACCTAACTGGCCTGTAATTATTGCTCAATGAAGTAGACTGAAGCTTTTATGAACACTTGTTTCCCTTGAGATTTGAAAGGGTCACTTGTGGGATGAACTTCAGGATATGGATAAGAGCTGGAACACATGATGGTATGGCATGTTTCACTTCTGAAACTCAAGAACAGTATTTTTTTTAATTTTTGCATTAATTGCGATTTGTGGAAATGATTACAGTAACATGTATGATGGAACAAAGCAAAAAGCCATTTTATAGCTCCAATTCGTTTTTGCACAAATTTTCTTTGGGGAAAAAAATAGTGATGTGTATAAGATTTTTCTTAATTCATCAAGGCTTAAGTCAGCAAACTCATGTTTAAAATTACTTTTACTCTTGTGTAATTAAACAGAAAGGGAAACTCCAATTTTTATTAACAATGGAGTGCACCGGAAAATTAGGAGACTGATTCTGTAGCTTTTTAAAAATTGCAAATCTTAATGTGAACAATCTGTGAACAAGCAAGCTGGCGTTGAATAATAAACATGAATCATTGATAGAATCTTCCTGGCAAAATTCTTGTGGGGCATTATTTTCAAGAAGTATACATCTTAATAAATGCATTGAGGCAATGAAGTGCACTGTTCCAAATAGAATTTACATAGAGTTGGGTCATTGATTGTGTTTTACATCTAAAATTAGCTGATGGACACAGTGCAGTAAATGTGTATACGCATGTACCAAGTGTAATTTCATCTGAACGTTGCTGGAAAAGTTTTGCTTTACATGCACAAGAAGCAGTAAAATCTCACTATTAAAAATCAACGTGGAGTCTTTACATTTGCTTCTTTATCTGCATAAAAGGTACACTGATGAAAGAACGGCTTTTAAATTAAAAATCTGAATTAACTATGTAAATGTGGGACAGTGCTATGTGGACAATGGAGTATTACCATAAATTTGAAAGTATGCTGTATCTCTGTTAAGCTTTGAAATTTTCCGACAAGAGAATAAATATAGTATGTTTTTCTCTAAATGTTTGAGGAAGAGCTCTCCTGATCACTTAGTGAGTTTCATTAAATATCTGAACCATGGAAAATCCCAGGTTCGATCTCATATTGTGCTAGGTGAGCTGATCTCAGTGCTCTGGGTTATAGAGGTAAATTTTAGGCCGTGTTCCTACTCTTTATCACTAGTCCAGTGATCTTTGCTAAGAGTATTTCTATCAGGGCCAGGTGAAGAAATGATTGGGCTTGGCTGTGTTGCACTGCACAGTCAAAATCTCACTGTTTCGCCTCACACAAGAATAATGGCCGCCTGAAGTAAGTTAGCGGAATGCACTGGTGGAAATTTAGTGTGGAGAAAGACAAAGGAGTCGTACCTTCAAAAGAAAAAAATATATAGATTCCATATCAAATACTTCTCAATCCAGTGCAGGTTAAAGCTTATTTGTCTTACCCCAGGAATGTGATCTGACCTCAGCCACAATGGATTTACTCTTCTATAAAGAACTACTATGGCAAATTTGTTTTGCAACCAAGTTGTGTGGAATTCTCTGGATGAAAATGTAAGTTTCATAATCTTAAAATAAGAGCTAGGCCAGTTAGAAGCGAGCCCAGGAAGATTTGTTTCACACAAAGGCTTGTGGAAATTTTGAATTCTCTTCCCAAAGAGGCTGTAGATGCTTGATCAGTTGAAACTTTCCAGACTGAAATCGATAAATATTTAGAAGGTATGGGTATCCAGGGTTATGGAGAAAGGATGGGGAAATGGAGCTGAGGTACAGATCAGCCATGATTCAATAGAATGTGGAATAGGCTTGAGGGTCCCTATTCACATTATACTAAATTGAAACTGCCCAAACTCAATTCATGTTGAACTTAACAGCAGACTATAGGAGACTTCCACCCCATCAGGCTAAGATGACATCAAATTGTTCTAGTGACCAGCCCTCCAATCTTCTACTTTGGCATTTAATGGGAGAACCACATCATCCAAAGCACTTTTTTGTTAAACAAAATAGCTTTATTGATGATCTTACATTTACCCATATCTGTATTCCAGACAGTAGTTTTAAACAATTCATAGAAATGGGAAATTAAAGAGATCTCCACATCTGAACCAATCAATCTCCATTTGATTAACAATAGTCTAGACATTGTTTTCATAGTCTGATATAATTTTATCCCTTAACTTCCCTTTTCTGAAGATGGTGCTTCATACTTAAGTATAGTTCCAGTGCAATTTGGTATCATTTGGGAGATCACTACTTCTAAGATTTGTGAAAAGGCTTAGAGATATGATATGTGCTTCAAGGATATTCAAAAAGTCTATGAGCATTTATCTCAAGCATTGCATATTGTGTTAGTATATGACATGCCTAACTTTTGTGAGCCCTGTTATGTTGTAAGTACAACTTTGTGTCGTCAACTTCAGAATCCAGACCTCCAACAAGTCCATTTTATCACTTTTGTTCACTATAATTTAGATAGAGAAGATAATTAGCAACAAGTAGAGAATATGGGATGTAAAAGTGGGGAATTTGAGGATCCAGTTGTTTTTTTATATATAGAAAATGTGATCCTCCCACAGGACTCTTGTTATTTCAGTGACTGGTTCAAAGCCAAATGCAGTATTGCCAATACACAATCGCACTGTCAGTCTGTTCCACATATTAATGGGATCCATCTGGTGCGTTTGAATAAATTGAAATGCTTTGTGATTTGCGAGTAATAGGACATTTTCAAAATACATCCCTTTCATAATTAATGGTTTATGTAAGATTGGCATCTGTGCAGTGATCTCCTTCACTGGACCAAATCAAAAGGTTTGGTATCCTTTTCTCACATGGTTGCTTGTATTAAGTGTAAGTACCCTGTTCAGCTAGCTAACTGTAAGCGAGCAAATGACTACTGATTGCTACCTTGTATTAGCCATGAGCACTTATGTGAAGAGAAGTCCAGGTGAGTTGGGGACACTGTTAGGACTCAAGTCTTTCACCATCAAAGCTATTAAGATTATGGAATGTTAATTGCTCCCAATTGCTTGTGGTTAAAGTATTTATATGTAGGATGTAACATATCTTAGTCCACATTTCTTTTTGAATATGACTTCCCACCATATCAGTCAAGTGCAAAACCATATCCTGTATCTAATGCCACTGTAACTGTGACCTGACCCTAGCAGACATTGATTTCACAAGAAATATCACTTTAGTGTTTGACAAGAGAATCCAGCACTTGGATTTCACAGTGTTTATCCAAAGTTCTTTATTTTAGTCACTTTTCTCCCCTCTCCAGGGGACACTGAAACCATGCTGCAGTCAGGTGTTGGCTACCCTCCAGTTCTGCGCCTAAGTAGCTTCATATGTGAGTTCAGATAGTGAGTAATAACATGCTATATTACTAAAACGATAATAATAATAATCCTTGCATTTGATAGAGCGCTTTATCACGTCTTCGAGACGTCTCAAAGTGCTTCGCAGAATAAAGTGTAAAGTGAATTAACTATATTTTGTGGGCAAAATGGGGCAGCCAATTGCGCACAGCAGTGTCCCACAAACAGTCGTGGATTAAGTGACCAATTTTTTTTGGAAGGAATTATTACCCCCGGAAAAGTGATCCGCCAATCGACTAACAACCGGTTTCCTACTTACTGCTAGGTAATCAGAGACGTGTGAAATAAGGAAACTTGCCCAACGTTTCGCCCTGCCAGCAATCAAATCCAGGTCTCGCTTGTGAGGTGAGTGCTCTAACCACTGAGCTACAGGACTCCCAAGGTATTGGTAACATGAGAGCTTACCAATAAATATTATTGCCAAGTTCCATGGAACTAGTCCACTCATTCTTGTTGAAGACCAACCTACATTTACTGGTGAGCAGACATGCTGGTTGACTGTCATCAATATTTGGGCTTGCTGCGGAGTAGAATGGTTTTGTCTGGCCAAGTTGGTTTATCTCCAGAATTCCACGCTCTCTCCCTCTTAGTAATTTCACTGCCACTCTGGGAGAGATCAGAAAAACAACACACTGGGATCGAAACAAGAACTTTGAGTCCGCGTAACACATTCCCCCCACCCCACATACACACACACACAGTGGTTTATGTCATCAGGGAGACTGCCATGGTTATTGTGAAGATGGCTCAGGAACATTGAATATAGTAGAGCGGACAAAAACAATTGTTTGTAACTGATGAATCTTTAGATCTTGCAGTACTGAAGGAGAATTTTTGAAAATAGATTTTTTTTATTGATTTGTCAATTTCACCAAAGTGAGCTCAAAGTCAAACTGTTGGCTTTAGCATCTTGAACATTGTTCTAGTCAGAATACTGTTGCCCATGAAAAACAGAGTAAAACATTAAAACTTTAAACAATCAAATCTTCTGACTCCTTATGTTATAATGGTGACTACAGCATTACACAATTTGCTTGTTTCTTCTGAAGTTAGTGACTGAATGCTCAACTCAGCTGGCAGTTCTTTATACTTGAGTTTATAGTAAGAGTTGATATTCTATTTAACCAGGATGAGATGGAGGATCAAGCTCATTAATGCCCAACATCTGTGCATAAGCCCAAATTAGGAGGAGTCACTGGACAGCAATGAGGAACAAGAGCCCTCCTGATTTTCTCCTCAAGCCCAGAGTTACTAACCTACCTTTATACTGCTGGAGCAATTTGTCTTTGAGCAGTTGAGGAGTGGGAAAGCTAATTCAGACAGAAATTTCTGCACAAGTATAGTTGCACTAAGAAAGTGTCATTTCATTTTAACATGTTCATAATTATAGTCAGAGTGAGCAGCTGCCTGAAAAACTAATCCTAAGGATCGTCCATTGCACCACAGCAGCTTTTAAAAGTATTTTTACAAGTATGGAGGTTCAGTGCAACATGATGGATACTGCAGTCAATGTCTCAAATTCATCTCCAAATTAAATCAGTGCTAGAGTAACCTTACTTATGTGTATCCTGTATCTTTTTTCCCCCAAAATTTTCAGCAACTACTTTGAACGCCTAAGCTCTGTAGTGCAGGATACCGTGGAGTTGGAAGAAGTAAGAGGAAAATCTGATCAACTGAGAAGGTTTAATGCCTATAGTCAACAATCTTGAAGTCCAGAGAAAGAATGAGTTAAATTAGGCAACAGTAATAATAATAATAATCCTTGCATTTGATATAGCGCTTTTCACGTCAGGAGGACGTCCCAAAGCGCTTCACAGAACACACTGTAAAGTGAATTGACTGTATATTTGTGGGCGAACGCGGCAGCCAATTGCGCACAGCAATGTCCCACAAACAGAAGACTGAGTGTTGACTTCAACACAGTGGGGAGGAAGAATATGTTGGACATATTGAAGGTAAAGATGCAGACTGAAATGTTAAATCTTTTTAATAGCAATAATATTAAGACATGAGACACCAATCTAACTCCATAAAGTTCAATCTATTCTACAGCCCCTGTTTCCACGCTTATAGAATAAGCTTTATTGTGTTTAAATCTGTTATGAATGTTTCCACGAAACATATTCATTAATGCTACTTTTACCAGAGGAATGTTGGAGACTCTGCAACAGGTGTGATGTTTCACTCCAGCAAAAGAACAAACTAGTTCAATGAAACTGGGATGCGTATGTTTTTGTGGTGGATGGTGAATTGGATTTTAGCTTCAGCTTCATGGCAAACACTTGCCTTATGGGTTCACAATGTCTTGTGGCTACAGTACTGGAGCCTTGCTGGTACCAGTGGAACCAAACCTCAGCACGTGAGTCTCCACATGAGGATTGGAAGGAAGAAATAACAATCGTGAAATATCAACAATCAGCTGAATCAAAGTAATGAAGATGTGCAACATAGCAAATGTTCTGATTGCTGAGAGGCAGTGGTGAAATTCCCAAGGGACATTTCAGGTCATAAAAATCTTATAATTTGGGAAATCTTGAAGGCACGTCACTCATCAATACGGTGTTTGTTATCACACTCTTCAATGTTAATTTGCATTGAACTAACTTACCCATAAGCACTTCAAGCCGGACTTGCTGAGAT